AGCTCTTTGACATAGTTTTGGGAGAGAGGTTGTAGCACCTTTGGGTGGCAATAGTTCTTAGTGATGTTTATGAATTTTTTTCCCATGTTTAATGTAGTCTTGGAGCAAAAAGAAACTAATTTGTGTAGATAAACTAGAGACAGCTTCCTTTTAGAAGCAAAAAAAACCTAATTTGTGTAGATAAACTAGAGACAGCTTCCTATCAGGTTAAGAGAGGAGGAAACTTATTAACTCATAAATTTTTTTGGTGTCTCCTGTATTATGCAAATGACAATCCTTAATGCTGACTGCAGTGGGAGTGCATTGGTGATTTTCAGATGCCCAGTTCCCCAGAGACAGCCAGTTGTTACTTGGCAGAGCTCCCACCTACTGACATCAGCTGATCTACAGCAGGAAAGAAAAGTCCATTATTGCCTGACCAAAGCACTTGGTATAGAATTGACTCGTTCTACTTCACTGGGGCGACAAAGAGAGCCTTTTAGGTTGGTTAATTTCAGCAGTGCCTCATTGGACTGTCTCCCCGGATTGGTAGGGTCAAATCAGCAAGCTAGGTCCGAGCAGAGAGACTTGCTCAGGTGGAACCTTTGCAATGTAATGATGGAGATTCTTTTTTTCCCCATCGTGAGGGCTGCTCCCAAATGTGATTTCTTAGAGATTTTTGTAGCCACTAAAAGATTTTTGAAATGCAGTTAATCCTATGATAGGAGGCAGGACAGAAGCCACATACTTTAATTCTGAAAATTTAGACATCTTTCAGAAATTCATGTGCAGTGTAGTTACTATTCCACGCACAACTATACCTTCCTTGGAAAATTTCTTTACAAGAAAATTGTAGGAAAGCAAATTATATACATAATTTCCCTGTATTTTTCCATCTTAACTGTTTCTGGGGGGGATGAGAACAAAGGAAGTATGTAAATAAATTACTCTAACCCTAGTTGTTTACTAACTTAAGAGGACTCAGTCTTAAAAAAAAAGAAAAGAAAAGAAAAGTAATTGTTTTTAAATGATTAATACATTACCTTCCTCTTTTTTCCCTCCAAAGTGGGGATGGAAAAGGTAAGAGGAAGTGAAAGGAATTAATAAATAACCAAATGGCCATCGATAAATTGTACATCAGCTCCAATCATGTTAAGAATTACTGGTTCTAAGGGCCGGCCCGTAGCTGACTCAGGAAAGTGCAGTGCTGATGAACACCAAGGCCGCAGGTTCAGATTCCCTATATAGGGATGGCTGGTTAGCTCACTAGCTGAGCGTGGTACTCACAACACCAAGCTAAGGGTTAAGATCCCCTTACCAGTCCTCTTTAAAAAAAAAAAAGAATTACTGGTTCTAGTGCACTCGTCTGGAAATCCCCGGTCACCCTGGGCTCTGCAACTTGCTTACTAGATCACCGGACTACTTAATTATAAAGTGATAGCAGTTTGTTTCCAAGTTCAGAATGTAATTGATTCTAATATGTGCCAAGTTCTGTGCTCAGATAGTAAGAATAAGATATGGTCTTTTTTTATAGTTCTTTAAGGAAAAGAACTGGTAGGGAGAAAACAATAATTACATGGCGGAATGTGATGGTGCTGTAAGATAAGTGATAAGACAGGTTAAGTAAGCAAGTGGAGACTTCCAATTTGGAAAGACATCATAGTGGACGAGGTGTTTGTATGATATTAAATGGTAGAGTTGAGAGTGGGAGAGGAGTGCATTCCTGGCAAAGGGAACTTTTTGAGCTGGGAAGGGGACCCTGCAATTGGACCCTGCAGGGCCTGTAATTGGCGTTGGTTGAGGGAATTTGATGTGAGATACGACTGCAGGAAACAACTGGAAGGTGAATGAGTGAAGTCATGTGTAACTACTAGGGAGTGTGGCTGGTGGTGGTAGTGATCCTTGTCAAGGATCAGCCTTCTCCAAACTAGGCTAGTATACTCAGAGCAGCAGTGTAAAGCAGAACTGCCTATTGTAATGAAAATTATTAGAGAAACTGATCCAGCAGACATTTAGTTTTTCAAAGTCACTCCCTCAGTTTTTGGATTTAAGCACTCTCTCGAAGTCTGTTTTGGCACTAGAAATTGTTTTTTTATTTTTATTTTTTAATTTTTTTTCCTTTTTGTCTTTTTTCTTTTTTTAAAAAAAGATGACCAGTAAGGGGATCTCAACCCTTGGCTTGGTGTTGTCAGCACCACGCTCAGCCAGTGAGCAAACCGGCCATCCCTATATAGGATCCAAACCCATGGCCTTGGTGTTATCAGCACCGCACTCTACCGAGTGAGCCACGGGCCGGCCCCCTTTTTTGTCTTTTTTCGTATCCGGCAACGGATCGCAACCCTCAGTATCGCGCCCGTACCGGACCGGGACCGGCAACGGGATCACAACCCTCGGTGTTGCGTCCGCACCTCGCTCAGCCAGTGAGCGGGAACCGGTCTGTATGTGGGATCCGAACCCTCGGCGGGATCGCTGCCGCACTCGCAAGCGGCGCACTGTAGCAGTACGCCACCGGGCTGGCCCTAGAAATTGTTTTTTTAGACAACTATCTACTGAGCATCCAAAGCTGAGACTTCTTGAGTTTTATTTCCTTGAGGTTTGTCCTATCATAGTTAGAAGAGCAGCTACTTTCTCAGAGTATACTGCCATGTGGTCAGTCCGAGATTAGTAATCCAAATTTACCCTTTAGGTTGACACCTAGCAGTTTAGCTTTAGTCAGTATATTCTTTGTTTGCTATTCCTGTCATGAATCTAGCATTTACTTGGATAGAATTCCAATCTTACAATATGGGAAATGAAAGATTCATTATCGAGCTCTCTCCCCATCCCTTACTGCTGCATAGCAGCTACAACACTCAGCATGTACTTGGTCTTTTCATCAACAAACATCTCTTTATGACCTCTGTATGCTAGAAGTCAGGGATACAAAGATTAGGTTGCTCAGTTTAATCATACCATGGGAAGCATATACAAGTGTTTTGCAGATTTACAGAAAAGTGTGATTGCATCTGAGAGGGAGGGAAAGGAGGAGCATTGAGTACAGTTTAGCAAGAAGGTATGATCCTCAGCTTACTCATTGCAGCTGGGTGTTGAGATATAAATAGGCGTTGTCCAGGCAGACAAGAGACACGGGACATTCTAGGCAAAGGAAGCATGTGCAGATGGCTTGAAGTTTTAAAGGGAATCACGTATTTTGGAGAAGAAAGATTATTTCTACATGCCAACAGGGTAGCTAGCGGGCATGGGTGAGAGATGATGCCAGGCCAGGGTGTTGGGCCAGATCATGGAGATCCTCCTGAAGAGGTGGGTTCTTTCCTGTCAGAAGGGAATGGTTTCTTTTTATAGTAAAAAAAAAAAAATTGACTGTGGAAAAACAATAGTACAACAAAAATTAACTGGTTGATATGTGGAGAATAACATAGAAGGAATGGAGATATGGCTAAAATTACCTCATGTACTCTTCCCATAGTGGGGCAGTCCTCAGAGTTGATCAGGTGCAGACGGTGCTTTCTCATCACCGTCACCACTCAGAGCTGCTTTAATCCCTCAAGAGCTGGAATGTGAGCTAGAAACTCTGACCTAACCCAGGTCTCCTTGTGTTGTTTACCTCCCAGCTGAATATGGGGAAGCACTGTGGCTGACTTCCGCTCCTGATGGTTACCCTGAGTACCCTGTTCTATTAGCTGAGGCAGGCGACAGGAAATGGGAAGAGCTCCCAGATGTTTCCCGGGTAACACAATTGTTATACCTTTTATAAATTACAGAACAGTATCTGGAAGGGACCATAAAGCATATCTGATTTGCTTCCTTGCTGAACCCAGAATCCCCTCTCTAGACTGTAATATTAAAGTTGGAAGGGACTTGAGATCATGCCATTTTTACCTGCCACTTTTAGTCACTTTAGGAAATAAAGGCATAGAGAGGGAAGGTGGCTTGTACAAGGTCACATGTTACTGACAGGTTTAGAAACTTTTTGTCATTAATCTATAACTGTTTCCTTCTGTGGTTCTTAATTTGTTAGAGGATAAAAAGGCTTATTCTTGATAAGATCAATTAGCATATTCTGGGTTTCTCACATAAATAGGTCAAGTTCTCTTTTTGACATTAAAATTTGTGAAACTGGGCTGGCCAGTTAGTTCAGTTGGTTAGAGCCTGGTGCTGATGACACCAAGTTCCAGGGTTCAATGCCTTTACCAGCCAGCTGAAACTGCCCAGAAATCTGAGGGTTTACAGTTGGGGCTGATTGAGTGCTGAAGGGAAGTACCACTTACCCAGGGGTTAACTTGGAATTGGTGCTGAATTTACAGTTTCAGTACTTTCTAAAATAACAGGTAGAAGCAAAACAGGGTAAATCTTTCACAACACCTTTTTCCCCTCCCAAGATACACGGTGATTTGGTTTTCTTTTGTGTGCATTCAGGTGAAACTAAGCCTGTTCATTTCGCAGGCTCTCTGATAGTCTGAAGAAGACTGGTAGGGTTGACATTTTGGAATAACTGAGAAATTAGCTACTCTAGGTAAATTCTATTGGTTACAGATATTAAAGACTCAGTTATTTTATAATCATTCCCTACATTGAATATCTGGGAAGATAGAAAAGCTGATTTAAGTAAGAGTAAAGTTATTAAAATGAAATGCAGAGACCAAATGAAGGGACTTTTCCATAGACTTGTTGTCAATAATTATTTGAATACCAGAGCTGGTATTTCTTTGAATCTTTAGAGCTCATGTAGAATTGACAGTATAAACCATAGTTCTTCCATTTGAATTTTTTTCTTTGTTTCATTGCCATGCTGGTTAGGCATCCTCTGAGGAACCCATGTAGGTAGGTGTTGCAGGGGAGTGGAGAGCCCTTTTTAAAAACAGGAATGGAATGTGAGTTTCACTGTTAGATCCTTAAAAGGGAGTACCTTCTCAGTTCACTTGTCTGCTAGGGTAATTCTTTCCTTCTTTCCGATTGGCTAATTCTGTTGAATCTATTTTGGTGTCTTATAGTGCTCATCTCAGGGCATTCTGTCTTTTCAGAAAATGGACCCAAGTGGGGTCAAAGTGCTGGAAACAGCAGAGGACATCCAAGAGAGGCGGCAGCAGGTCCTAGACCGATACCACCGCTTCAAGGAGCTCTCAACCCTGAGGCGTCAGAAGCTGGAAGATTCCTATCGATTCCAGTTTTTCCAAAGAGATGCTGAGGAACTGGAGAAGTGGATTCAGGAAAAACTTCAGATTGCATCTGATGAGAATTATAAAGACCCAACCAACTTGCAGGTGTGTGTTCTCCCTGAGATTCCTGCCAAAATTCAAGAACCCAAATGTTCTGCCCCAAAATCAAAGTTATTTAATTATGGCCTTGAAAGACCGGGCAGCAAGAAGAATTTAGATCAGACATAAGGAAGTACTAACTCTGTTCTGACAAGCCTTTAGTGTATTAGTGAAAGTGAGGGCCGGCCCGTGGCTCACTCGGGAGAGTGCGGTGCTGATAACACCAAGGCCCCAGGTTCGGATCCTATATAGGGATGGCTGGTTGGCTCACTGGCTGAGCGTTGTGCTGACAACACCAAGTCAAGGGTTAAGATCCCCTTACCGGTCATCTTTTTAAAAAAAAAAAAAAAGAAAGAAAGAAAGTGAATATGAAATCTTGCAGATATTAATTTATCTTTTCTGGATGCTTTAAAATTCTCAAGCCACTGCCTTGACGATAATTCTCAAACCACTGGTGATCTTTAAACATTTTTCAGGGAAGATTTGAATTGATCTCTTGGAATATGTATTTTTGAGGAAGGCATGCTAACAATGTTGCTGGCAAAAATTCATGGTTATGAGTCCCTGTTAGAGTTTCATTGGTAAGTCTTATCAAAAGCAAGCCTGAATTTTTTGGTATGTAAATTATACCTCAATAAAACTTTTTTTTTTTTAAGAGAAAGCCTTTCTTCTCATCAATTTTGGTAAAAGACTTTTTAAAAAAATTATTTTGATAGCAAGTGGAGCAGTAGTTGGGCCCATGGGTTCTTTTACTACACCAAAGTAGTCTAAGAAGAGAGAATGGTGAACACTGGTTTAGGTACAATCCCTGCTCAGCAGTCCCCTTGCCTGCTCAATACTTGATGAAAAAGACATGTTGAGAAATGGAATTTAGGCAGGATCAAAGAGTGTGGCTTCTAAAGCAAGGGAAACGAAGTGTCATGTTGTAAGTGACAATGGGTTGATTATTTAAGGAAAACTGTCAATATGTCTTGAAGGAATTGTATGTCCATATAAAGGCTAATTTCCTGGTAGATGATAAAATTAGGATATTTTTAGCATCTTCCATCTGCAAAGTTGGTTGTCCTTACTGGCCAAGCATTAAGAGTGCTGGTAGAAATGCAGTCAAGAGTATTTGAGTAATTGAGCAGTAGAGAATGGGCAAGATGCCGAGTGATGTGTCCATAACTAGAGAGAGTGCGATTAAGGAGGGGAGGAATAATGGGTGGGGGACAAACTATGAGTGCTGTGTGGTTACATCTATGGCTCACTTCATGGTCCACCAACAGGGAAAGCTTCAGAAGCATCAAGCCTTTGAAGCTGAAGTGCAGGCAAACTCAGGAGCCATTGTTAAGCTGGATGAAACTGGAAACCTGATGATCTCAGAAGGGCATTTTGCATCTGAAACCATACGGGTGAGTATGAATAGTGCCTGGTATGGGTGGCCTTCATCTGGGTGGAGGAACGTCAGTTTGGGTTCCAAAAAAAAAGATAGACTTTTCCAGCTTTTTACAGGAGTTTGTAAAGTCTCTTCAAGAAGTTACCCTAATCCTGCCTTTGTGATATGATTCAGAGTGAATATAAACAAGTGTTTGTATAATTAGTGAGGAAATTAATACTCTTTTTGTAGAACAAATTAGAATGTGATTATACTTTGAAGAAGATTGCATAAATTAACTCTAACATTTACAGTTGTTAATTTAGGTGAGAGAGCACATTAGTGAAATTGGTGATTTTAGGGATGAGGATATAAAAACAAATAGGAAAAATCAATGACACTATAAAGTTCTCTGTTGGAAAGCTTGCTGTCTGAATCTTGGTGGCTTTCCCTAGGAGGAGTTTAATGAGGTCTAGGAAGCAAGCCAGTTAAAGGTCCAGCTCTCGGGAATGACCTGTGGTATCTGCAGGTCAGTGACCCTGGTGATCTGACTTTGAGACTCCTTGAACTCTTTGGTCTGGCTTGTTTTGATGCCAGTTCATTGGAGTTGGGGCAAAATTGCTCTTTCTCTGCTTTGTTTCATATTTCTAGTAACAAGGTACTGAGGGAAAAACAAACCTCTTTATGATGAGGTGTGCACACTGATCTTCTCAGAACGGGATGCTCTTTCCTATCTCTGGTATACCTCATACCTAGCTATGTGTTTTGTTTGGTTCTTGGTCTCGCAAAGCCACATTCCATTGAGGGCCCAGCCTTTTCTAGTCCTTTACCTGTCAAAGCAATCCTGAAGATTTATGAAAGTTACATTCTTAAACCTCAGCTAGAAGTGTTTCATCCCCTGCTCTTCCCTGGTAACTGTTTGGGAGGTTCCAGTCCCTTAAGATCCAGTCTAGTGGTTTTTAACAATAAATATTTGTTGTCTCACATTTGCTCTGCTGTATTCTGCAGTCTCATATTGAAGACTTGCAATTAGTCCAAAACTTATGATTAATAATTATTAACTAGTACTAGTAATGATTGTGAATAGTAAATAAAAGTGCATTCCAAATGCCATGATCAACTATTTAATTATATTCGACCCATTTGGGCAATGTAATATGTATCTCTGCAATTAAAGACAAATGTTTCTCTGCCCTTTTTTCACTGTTTGGTACACAGTTTTTGTTTGTTTGTTTGTTTGTTTGTTTTGGCAGCTGGCCGGCACAGGGATTGAACCCTGGACCTTGGTGTTATCAGCACCACACTCTAACCAATTGAGCTAACTGGCCAGCACTGTATATAGTCTTATAGTAGATGAAATCAGCATGCCTTATTATTTCCTTGATAGAAGTTGTTTTTCCAGGGCCGACCCCGTGGCTCACTCAGGAGAGTGCGGTGCTAAGGGCACATGCCTTATTATTTCCTTGATAGAAGTTGTTTTTCCAGGGCCGACCCCGTGGCTCACTCAGAGTGCGGTGCTAAGGGCGCTGAGGCCGCGGGTTCGGATCCTATATACGGCTGGCCGGTGCGCTCACTGGCTGAGCGCGGTGCGGGAGACACCAAGCTGAGGGTTACGATCCCCTTACCGGTCACAAAAAATAAAATTAAAAAAAAAAAAAAAGGAAGTTGTTTTTCCAGAGTGAACGGGCTGCTCTATAGTAGTATATAACAAGGTTACAGATGGGGAATATGAGAAATAGATGAAGTGTTCGGCTTCAGTAATTAACCTAGTGGGGAGGGGAGAACCCAAAGCTGACATCATTCATGTCTATTGGTACCCTCTGCCATGTTTAGCGATCTTACTAAAGCAACATTAAAAATAATGTTAACTACTATTTGTTGAGTAGCTTATTAGTAGCTTTTTATGTACAGACAATTTGCTAATTTCTAATCTTCAAGTAAGCTTGCAAGGTGGCCGTTATCTCCATATTATAGAAGGATAGAAACAGGTTCAGGGAATTTTGTGTAGCTTGCTCAAAGTCACATAGCTAACAGATGACAGAACTGGAATTTCAATTTATTCCTTTCTTTCTGCAGTCACAAATATTTGCTTTATTTTTCCAACCTGTATTTCATTTCTATTTTCTTTCCTTAATTTTTCTGCCAAATGCTTCTCTGAAGGCTCCTGTTGCTTGCTTATGCCCTTGTTGAGAAATCCTCCTGAGTCAGAACCAGCCTTTCCCCTCCATCTTGTCAGCTCTCAGAGAGTTTCTGAAGTGCACCTGCCTCCCTGCCCACTCATGCTCTCAAACAATAAGAAGCCTGTGGAACTGGACTCTCTCTAACCTGCAGTATTTATAAGATCATACACACCAGGAATGGCAAAGTCGTTCTAGTACTGGAACAGGCCTTGCCCTCGTTTTTTACTTGAGTGTGTGAGAATGCAATTTGTGAGACCAACAGTTGGCTTGAGGGTGAGAAGTTTTCTCTAGTATTCTGTGGCCTCATCTTTAATTTGAGCAGGGAGCAAGTCTTTACTTTCATGCTCACAGTTCCTACAGTGACCCTGGCTTGCTAAAGTGTTAGTTTGGCAGGCAGTGTTAGCATAGAGGAAGGTGGGTGGCATGTAAAGGCTGTGTCTGTGTCCTGGGTAACCTGTCTGTCACTGGTTTAGACTTTCACACCGTACCGGACAGCATGGCGCCCCATAGTCACCGCCACCCACATTGGGTCCCACATCCGAGTAGGTGGAGTATTGACTTGCTGTGGGTTGCCTTTCCCCCCTTGCCTTGGAATGCCTTTCACTTCCTGCTCCTTGTGGGTTACAGTTTTAGCAGTGCTGGAAGTGAATTGTGTGAGCTTTTATTTCCCCTACTACTTTCTCCTTTCAGATGAAACATTCATACTTTTTTCTAAGAGAATCCACCCATATTGACTGTCCCATGGCTTTAAAGTCTTTATTTTGCTGAGTGGCATTTCAAAGATGGGTGGATCCCAGACTTCTTTTCTGTTAGTGGTTAAACCCCTTTGATTGTTTTACTTAACATCTGTCCGTGTTGTACAGAAACTCCCAGTATCTTGGGGAGGCATAAACAAGGCATTCACGGGCCGAGCCCATGGCGCACTCGGGAGAGTGCGGTGCTGGGAGCGCAGCAGCTTAGGGATGACCGGTGCGCTCACAGCGCTCACTGGCTGAGTGCGGTGTGGCTGGTCTCAAAAAGGCCAAAAGAAAAAGGCATTCAGGTTGGATTGGAATGCCAGAATGCAACACCTAAGCTTGAATTGATTGTCAGTTCCCCCCAGTTCTTGACAAGTCCTTACTGGGCCTGTGTTATGAGAACCCAAAGATACTGGGAAGTGAATATGTTTGGCCTATTGGCTGCCACTTGGGTGAAGTTTTAAATAAACTTCACTTCAGATGTATTATACCACAAACTATCTTTTCATAGAAGCTGCAAAACTTTTTCAGCCAAGAACCCTTTTTGATTGCTGATTACATTTCAGGTCCCCATCTTTTCTACTTTTATACTAAGTTTTCCTATTGTGTCTCACAGTCTACATTTTTTATGTCTGTAGAACCTCCTCTTCTATTTTGTTTTTTCCCCTTACCCCCATAAATTCAGAACATACCCTTTAGTAATTTCTGTTCAGTTTCCACATTAATTTTTCATCTTTCCTTCCCCAATAGTCTTGCCTGGGAATTCTTCTTTAATAATTTAATAATATATTATTATTAATAATAAATAAACAATAATTAATGATAACTTAATAATTTACCTGCAGTAAACTATTGTAAATCTACCTATGAAAAGTCAATTATTTTGTAACTTTTAGACCTCACAAACCACTATGAAGTGTGTACTTTTTCCTACTCTGTTAAATTTACAATTTCCTCTCAGTTTAGGGATTATCTTTTTAAAAGATTTTTATTCAGTGCTCTGAAGTTTCTAACTTGTCAAAACTCACTGGAGGAGTGAACCAGTTGTAATCTGATTAAAAATCTGATTTTTAACCTCCAGACTCGTCTGATGGAGCTGCACCGCCAATGGGAATTACTTTTGGAAAAGATGCGGGAGAAAGGAGTTAAGTTGCTGCAAGCCCAGAAGTTGGTGCAGTATTTACGAGAATGTGAGGATGTGATGGACTGGATCAATGACAAGGTATGTTTTGGGAAGGAAGGTTTGCTAAGCCTTACCCCAAAAAAGGGAAGAGACTCCTCCATGCTCTGCAGCTGATCTGAGAGCCAGTGTTAGTGCAGATGCAGCAGGTTTAAGCAAAAGGGGTGAAAGTAGGATTGCTATATCTCTAGCTGTTCTCCTCTGTTCTGTAACTCTGAAACGTGGGGTCTCTGAGACAGAAGTGCTGAGAGTTCAGCCTCCAAAGTATGAGATGAAATAAAATCACCAACCACACAGAAAACTGCATTCTTTAATTGTAACATGGCCCCATTCCTAGTGCATCTGTTTCATTGTAAGTTTCTGGGAGCTGTTATTACCAAGTGTTGATTGATGACTCTGGCTCTGTTATGGTCCCTGAATAGGAAGCAATTGTGACTTCTGAGGAGCTGGGCCAGGACCTGGAGCATGTGGAGGTTTTACAGAAGAAATTTGAAGAGTTTCAAACAGATTTGGCCGCTCATGAAGAAAGAGTTAATGAAGTGAACCAGTTTGCTGCCAAACTCATTCAGGTAAATAGAGTTCTGTGTGCTTGTCACAACATCATTATGGTAACTTTCTAGTGGATTCAGAAGAAAATTTTGATGATCAGTTCCCTAATTTCTGAGTGAGCAAGTTTTTATAAGCATGTCTAAGAGTCGTGTTTAGATGTAAGTAAGGCACAATACTGATTACTCCTAAATTAGAAAATGCTTTTTAACTTGTTGCCTTGGGCAGGAAGGGCAGAGTTTATTTGATCTGTTTCCTCCACCCACTTTCAGGTGGGGTTGGGTGAAGCTTTTATTGGGCTGCTGAAGCTGGGTCTCAGGGTTTCTGACACAGGTGTGGTGGTGAATGCCTGCTTAGTGTTGGCAGGCGTCCACCAATGCCTATTGCTCTCCCTTTCCTTTTTGATTTGAAGCTTTCTGGGCTCTCTTGGAAGCCTGGGGAGACCTCATATGAATGGCTTTCCACTAGTAGCTCTGGAGCCCATTAAGAGGGGAGAGACAACCCTTCCCCATTGCCTGCCTATGCAGGTCCATAAGCTGCAGAGTTCAAAGTGCTCCAGAGACATCAGGTACAGGTTGAGCATTCCTTATCCAAAATCTGAAATGCTCCAGAATCTGAAACTTTTCAGCACTGACAGGACATGCAAAGGAAATGCTTATTGGAGCATTTTGGATTTTTAGATGAGGGATGCTCAGCTGGTTGAGTATCTGCAAATATTCCCCAAACCAGAAAAATCCAAAATACTAAGTACTTCTTGTCCTAAGCATTTTGGATAAGGGATACTAAACCTGTAGTAGAAACTACAGAGTTTTTGGGGCCGGCCCGGTGGTGCACTGCTAACAGTGCGCCGCTTGAGAGTGCGGTGGCGCTCCCGCTGAGGGTTCGGATCCCACATACAGACCGGTTCCCGCTCACTGGCTGAGCGAGGTGCGGGCGCAACACCGAGGGTTGCGATCCCGTTGCCGGTCCCGGTCCGGTA